TCCTTGGGGTTGGCCTGCTCGGGGAAAAACTTGGTCAGCAGGGTGGCAAGGCTCTGCTGGTAAAGGGAGTGTTTCGCATCGGCAATCAGCTGGATCGCCGCTCTGTCGATGTTGTTCTGCAACCAGTTGCTATGGTCCGGACTCATGCCTAGTCCGGCGTACTTCAGGGACAACCTTAGTGATGCCAGAGCCAGATTTACACCCGCACTCATGTCTACCACCTGAAATACGCCGTAGTTTTCAAGGATCGCTTCGAACAGGCCCGCGGTCTTGGTTTCATTCCAAAAGAGCGGCACCGTCGACCTCGACCCGGACCCCGACCACCCCTTCGGCTGCCTCAGCCACAGCATTCCCACATAAGGAAGGATGCAGCGATGCACTGTTCTAAGAATCCACAAGGTCTCAACACGACGGCTAAATGTCTGTGCATGCCAAGTTGCTGCTGATCCTCCGGCGTGTCCTTGTCCAGACCCAATATTTTGGCCTTCGCCGGGAAGTCCAACAAAGGCAGGGACTGTGCCGCTGGGAAAGGAACTCCATGGTAGGTGGTGAATGCCGTGGTGGTCTCGTGCTCCTCAGCGAAGTTGTCCTGAGAAGCCAGAGCAGCACGTGCTGAAGAAATATGTGGAATGAACTGAAGGATATTACCTCAACACAGAAAGCACGCTGTCCTTTCGCTCGGCGGCAGTGAGTCGCACTCTCGGCATTGAGAAAGCCACGTAGCAAGTTTCGTGGTTTACTTGCGACCCGAACACTTTCCTTGTCGCTCCTTTGTGTATCTTGCCAACGTAGCAAATCATCAGCTCAACGTGTTCCTGCTTCTGCTTCTCAAGGATTGAGTCCAGCCTGGGCCCACGCTGTCCAGGCTTCAGTAAGAACAGGCATGACACGCAAAGGAAACACACGTGTCATGTCTATGATATGCCTGGACACGCACGTCTGGCATCCTTGCTACGACCGTCAAAGAAGAAGCACATGGACCCGGGAATCTTTGCCATGAGTTCAAGGGCAATCGTCACACGCAGCTTGAAGAAGTCCATCTGTGCTTGAGTGCCCACAGGGGTACTGCCCCAGCCCCCTTTGACCTCCAGGCACAGGTCCGCGGACAAGAAGATGCCAACGTGCTTCTCGTTCACGACGCCTGAGAAGACGGATGCTCGGGCCTTCTCCAGGGCATTGTTGACTGCATCTGTCTTCCAGGATGTGACGCCTTCAATGTTCACAAGCGACCTGCGGACCGCGACCGCTTTCTGCCAGACTTCCTGCTTCAGTCAAATGATTGCCCAGCCACACGTACTCTTCAGCCAACAGGAATAAGGCCATAAACAAGTGAAGTCTGCTTGAATGCTAAGTAAATTATATACTATACCTAAAAGACAACATAGTAGAAGCCTGTAGAAACAGAGCTGATTCGATTTGAGGGTGACTTGAGGGCGCTTTGAGGGAAATTTGAGACATTCACTAACACTTGTACATTCTGTACTGATTCAATTTGAGGGTGACTTGAGGGCGATTTGAGGGAAATTTGAGACGTTCATTAAACTTGTACATACTGTACTTGTCTCGGCAACTTTGAAGTAGATTTGAGGCAGGAACAAGCACGCACAGGCACGAGAAGCCTTGACCTTGCCAGACTATTGCAATTCCTCTGTCAAGCAAGTCAATGCAAATCTTAATTGCTATGAATCCTTCAAGCTTGAACCGTAAACTGTATCTGTTTCGTTTCGGGTACACCATCCTCGCGTTCTTTGGTCACAGCATCTCTGGTGGCTTCACCATCACCCCCGAGCTCATCAGAGTTGACTCGTGCCAGCTGCCGCCACGAAAGCCGAGGAAGGAAAGATGCGTCAGCTGTCACTGCCTCCTCTGTCGACATGGCTGCATCCAAGGCATCAGATAACTCCTTGACGACCGCGACCGGAGCCTCCTTTGCTTCGATCATCGACACCACATCCACCAGGTCCTCGCTGCATAGCTCCTGGACGCTCGTGTTGAATTGTCCGTCTGCTAAGGAAAAGCTCCAGTCAATCAGCGGTTCCATCTTCTTGAACGTGGCTTCCTTCATCGCAATCTTCTTCAAGCCTTCGACAGTACCCATGCTCAGCTCGTCAAAAGGACGCTTTGCACCCTTCTCGTCAGTGCCATTGGCCTGCAAGCAGCCGTAGGGCAGGATTGCTCGGGCACTAATAACAAACACACTCAGGAGTTATGAAAGCTCCTCGTCGACACAACTGAAGAGGCACTGCTGCAATGCGTGGGTTTGCCTAAGGGCTTCCACAACTAGGGCTACACACGGGACTGCTACTTGGGCTTGAATCGTGAACGATGATTACCATTCAGCTCTCTCTTGGCAGCGTATCCCTGCAAGCCTGTTGATACTTGAGGAGCTCTTGTCTCCAAAGCAAGGGGTTCGTGAGTGTTTCGATGATGCTGCAGAAGCTGGAGGGGCACACGGACCGCTCCATACGGCCCACCAGTGCTCGCGCGTGTTGCCCGAGCGCAATTGCCTGCAGGGCAGTTCTGGCCCAGCAGGCCTGGTCCTCCTTGCCGCCAGTGCCCTCTTCCCCTGTGAGGAAACTGCCGATGCAGTCATCAGGCTGGAGCTGAGACGAGTCCAGGGCGACCGCGAGTTGGCTCAGAAGGAGCTCCATGGCATCACACACATCCAGCTTCACAGCAAAAGCTGGACCGTTTGCGTGTTTCTTCGCAAGGTTCATCATCCTATAGAGCTTGGTCGTGCTCTCCGTGATGAGTTTGCGCCCATAGCGAGATTCCAGGTAGGAGACAATCGACCGCGACCGCGCGGTCAAGTTCTTTGAGATGGCCAAGCCGCCCACCAGGAGGTTGCGGCTAATGGGCTTCGACTGGTGCATCACCTTGGCGTTCTTCACGTACTCAAGCTGCTTGTTCGTCCCACCCTCCACGTCCTGAACAATGACTGAAAGCCTATCAGAGAACAGGACCACGTTGTCGGCCACGACCGCGAGACCTCTTGCCCGCTCTGCAGATTCAAGTGCGATCTTCATCACATGGGTGTTGGATTCCCATAACGTGACCCGCACAGTGATAGTCTGCATGGCTTCATAGAGCTTGCCCAACCTTGCATCGTCATTCTCAATCAGAGCATCGTGGGCACAGGCCCACCACGCAGCGAGAATGAGGTGATTCCCAAGCAGCTTCAAGCTCTCGGGGTAGGCATTCTGGCATACATCATTCACTGACCTACAAGCGCAATCCATCTGGACCGGAAAGACGATGCGATTCTTGTAGTGCGGACTCTCCACGAAGAGGGCTTTAGCCTGGAGCAACTGCGACCACGACCCCAGATGCACAGGAAAGAGAGCGTTGGCCTGCTGGTCGGTCGCATCGGTGCCAGCAAGGTTGTCCCTGGGGTTGAAGGACAACCAGAACCCCGACCCTCCACTTTCGTAGAGGTTGCTCTGATCCAAACTCAAACGAGCATGGGTCACATTCCACATCTCCTTGAAGGACTTGTACATGGGGGCCGTCTTCGCTTTCTTGGCCCCAGTGGCCTTGGCAGCAGGAGTCGGCTCCGGCAGCAGGAGCGGTTCCGCCTTTGTCAGACTCTGCAGACTACTTGGCACCACATTCATCTTTTTCAGCCTCGTCAGCATGTCGTCCTTGACCTTGGGGTTGCCGTAGTTGGCTGGATTTCCTACCAAACAGGAAAAAGGTGCGCCAGACTCTGGCTGAAAATAAAGGATTAAGAGACAAGGTCCCAGGTACCAGCGGAACCATGACACGCATCACGTCCATCGCATTGGCAGTGTCCGGGCTCCGTGTTGCTTCATCAAGGAGCTCCTTCAAAGACGCCATGCTGCAGCTGGAAATCAACGACCACCGACCGCCGACCGCGCAGCACTCACAACCAAAAAAATCGCTGCGGGGCTCTGGTGTCAGCGAACAGATGTCGAGCAGACGACTCCAGTTTAACAAGAGGAAGGACGACCACAGGTTCAAGACATGCCTGGTGTTCCACGTCTCATCAGCCTGGCCGCAAGGAAATGACTTTCAATGGTTCATTTTCACGGAAAGCTTGACTGGGAATGATAGTTGAATGCTCGGCTCATTGAACTCCCTCTGCAGAGGCAGGCAGCTCAAGCATGGGTACATGTCTCAGAATCAGAAGAC